AAAATTATTTTATATTTTATTCTAAACATTAAAGAGAATATAAATTAGGAAAGTAAAATATTAGGATTTAAGACATTCAATTCATTTAAATTGGGTGTTTTGCATAGAGTTCAGCGGGATCGGGATCCCGGTCGGGATCGGGCGAGATTATCCCGGGTTTTTCAAATCCCGATTTTTCTGATCCCGCTCCCGAAATATATATCATGATCCTGATCCCGGCCAATTTCAATCCCGAGCCGGGATCCGGGACCGGGATCACCATTCTAAATCCCGATCCCGGGTTTTCTCTAAATCCCGATACCGCTGAACTCTAGTTTTGCACAGTTATTTGGCGACAGAACCGTAATTAGTTTTCGTATTAATATTCTGTTGTCTTAAATCTCGTCTAAGATAACTTTCTTATGTAATTTTTTAAAGGAAAAAATGTGCTATTTATCCTTATTTTATTTAATTATTTTTATTAAAATAATAAATACACAAGAATTATTTACATCATCTGCAGAATTACAACAAATTATTCATATAGAAAAAGAAATTCCAAAAATTATACAAAATTATATTTCATTAGAAAATAAACGTTTGGAAGAATTAAAAATGTATTTAATAAGATTCAATAAAATTTATAGTAAAATTAATCGGAATATCCTAAGTGAATATCCACTGAATATCCTAAGTTTATTTGATCTTTAATTGAAGGATCTACTATCAGATTCACTTGTATACACACAGCTACTTTTGAAACCAGTTCCCTTTACTGTTCAAAAGCCACTCATCCTTAAGAGTGGCTTTAAGAGTGGCTCATTAAGAGTGATTTTATGTAGCTATCTGGTTATATACAGAGTCCGACTGAATTTCTAAAAGTAGATTAGAAATGAAGAATAGGCTTACCATATGGGAAAAGTTATTTTTAGGCAAAATGCCTAAAATTTGCTTCAAAGCAAATTATATAATAATTAAATAGGTAATTGTTATTTAACAAGATATTATACATACCACTAAGTTTTACAGTTAGGGTAGCTCCCAGATCCCGCAAGACACTGACCCGAACCCATAAGGCTTACCCCGAGAAATCCCGATCCCCAACGATCCTGACCACAAAGGCTCGGAGAGCTATCCTTTTAAAATACTCCCCATTTACTGTCAAAAGCCGAGTAAGCAATGGGTATTTGATTTATTTATATACAGAGTCGACAGGATCTATAAAAGTATAGTATAAATGCAGGACGGGTTTACTATATGGGAGAAGTTATTTTTAGGCAAATGTCTAAAATTTCCTTCAAAATAAATTATATATTAATTAAATAACTGATATTTAACAAAATTATTTTAGTATTGCTAATAAATATGAAAAAGAAGACAGCGAATTATTTGAATTAGAACCAAAAAGTGTTTTGAATCCGTTAAATGCTTTAAGAGTAATTAAAAAGTTATCAATGAAATGGGAGGAAATTAAAAAATTAATTAAATCAGATATGGCTGAAAATTATCTAAAAAATATTTCGATGCAAAGGAAGACTCGGTTTCCTACTAAAGTAATTTTTAAAGTAGTAAATGATTAAGTTTGCGGATTAGTGTAAAGGGTGACATAAAGGCAGGGTTTCGATCTCAAATTTTTAAAAATCCGCAAATTTGACCGAAAAAATCCGCAAAAAATTATCAAACACAAAAATTGAATTAAAATCACTTTATGCATTATATTTTTCGTCTTCTACAATTGAATTAAGCAATTTTTTATCACTACGACAATTAGGTATCTGAAAAATTACACTTGCATTTTTGTCGCGAAGGGTGTTGTAAATTTTTATTTCTTCCATTTTCAGCGCCGCAGGCGAAAATTTTTTTAATTTTGCAAAATCCTTAAGCCAAAAATCTTTCATTTTCAGGTTAGGTAAAAAATTTTGAGGATTTTGGAAGAACAAGTACACAGATTCCTTCATTTTTTGCGCTGCAGACGAAAAATTTGAGAATTATAGAAGGCCATGAAGCCAGATTTCTTCTATTTTCAGCGCCGCAGGCGAAAATTTTTTAAATTTTGGAAGGTCATGAAGACAAAACATGACATTTTATCCTAAAAACCACAAAAAAATACAAAAAATCCTCAATCTTTAAAAGACCACAAAAATCCGCAAATCCGGATTTTTAAAAATAATCCTCATCGACCTATCAAAAAACCTCAAAATGAGGAAAAATCCGCAGATATCGAAACCCTGCATAAAGGTAACACACTCGTTATTTATGAAAATTTCTTTTATGGCACCCTGCATAAAAATTTTATTTTTTGTAGTTTAATAAAATTTCAAATTAAATAGGATGATTTAGATGGTGCAATTCAAGGACTATTCCGGTTACAAGATATTTATAAATTAAAAACAAAAGATTTAGCTAATGGAATTATTGAAGATATTAGTATAAAAAATCAAATGAATTGTGAGTTACAAATTTAGTAAACAGATTTTTCTTTTACCTTAATTTTCCAGAAATTTCCATATTTCCAAGAAAATTTCCATATTTCTTAGCTTTAAAAATATTTTAGAGGATGTAAGGTAAAAATTAGTGTTCGGCACGGTACGGTATACCGCGGTATTTTTCCCGGTATACCGCGGTATTTTTTTCCGGTATACCGATACCGATACCGTACCGGTCAAATTTTGAAAAAAACGGTATTTTTCGGTTCGGTATTTTTTCGGTATACCGATACCGATACCGTACCGGTCCTCGAAAAAATACCGCGGTATTTTCCGGTATTTCGGTATTTGTGAAATTCTCAAAATTTTCGCCTGCGGCGCTGAAAAAGGAAGAAATCTGTCTTCTTGTCTTCCAAAATTCTCAAAATTTTCGCCTGCGGCGCTGAAAAAGGATATATGTATAGGGACATTCTATTAGAGGGGGCATTGTATTTTTCAATTATCCTGTTGGGGCATTCTATTAAAGGAGGATATTCTAATTGTGGGGGCATAGTAATTTTCAATCATCCTACAGGGGACATACTATTAAAGCAGGGTATTCTAATGGAGGGGGCATTGTATTTTTCAATTAGCTAAATGTCGAGCAATTGTTGGACATTTTGCTGATTCAAATCTTGCCTATGATCGATTAGAAGAAGCTCAAGTCCTTGAGATTGTTAAGATTTATTGTTAAAATTTTAAGAATAAAATTTGAAAAATTTTATAAAATTTTTTAAAAAATACCGAATACCGGCCGGTATACCGAAAATGTTGAGACGGTATTTTCCGGTATCGGTATTTTTCCGGTATACCGATACCGATACCGTACCGGTCAATTTTTGTAAAAAACGGTATTTTTCGGTATCGGTATTTTTTCGGTATACCGATACCGAATACCGGAAAAGGTCATTTGCCGAACACTAGTAAAAATAAGCAAAGATAACCAATAGTACGGAGCGTCCCACATCAGTCCCTGGCCGTTTCAGTCCCCAGTCTGTAACTCGAGAATTTTGAAATAATTTATTGAACTTTTAGTACCTTTACATAGAGGATTAAATTCTCTACAAAATGATACCAAATATAAAATAATTTTATCAACTGATAATGAAGATATTATCAAAAAACGGCCATTTTTTAAAAAAGTCATTTTTTTATGTTTTTTAATCATAACTTTGGTAACTGTAGATCAAATTTTTCGATCAATAGCTTATTTTGTAGCTTAATTAATTCTCTATCCAACTATACCAAGAGTTCCAAAAACTACAACTTTCTCGAGTTATAGAACTCGGGACTGAAACATTCAGGGACTGGTTTTCTTACCGCCAATAGTATATTTAAAAATTGGTTGCCTAGATAAACTATCTATTTTAATAAAATTTTTTTATTTTAGCAAAGGATTGTTATGATATAGGCCTTGCAGCATACATGAATAAGGTAAATAAAAATATGTATAAAAATATTTAATTAAAAGGATTATTATCACTCAATATTATGGATGCAAGAGGCATATCATCGTAAACTAAATGAAAAATCGAATATAAATAATGGGAGTAATCTACCAGATATTTTAAATATTTTGTCAATTTCTTTGTATAAGCAAGGAAATTTAATACTAGCATTACTAATTAATGATAAATTAATTGAAATTGGTTAATCAATTACAGATATGTAAATTAAGAAATTTTATTAAGATCCATTATATCCAAGTGCTTTAAATAATTCAAAATTATACGAAAAAGAATTATTTGAAAATGGAGTCTCCGAGGAAGATTTTCGTAAAAATATACCTCTCTTAAACAATACAAGAATTGCGAATACTCCTTACCTGAATGCAAGTTATCGAATAAGTTATGAAAAGCTTTGTCGTGGTGAATTAGAACAAGTGCTTTAATTTAAAAATATTTTTATTATTGAATAATTGGGGCTGTATTACGGATGGTTCTAAAGGGTTCATACAGTTAAATAGGTTCGAGCTATCGAGCTAACTAAAGTCCGAACTACTTTCGGCATGGGGACTGGACTTCAGCAAAATTTATCCTCTGCTTATAAGACTAAAGAGTTCAAGAGCTGTTGCTCATCCAATTTACTCGGTCTTAACTAGTCTCAAATAAAACAAACGTACTACTGGATTTGAATTTATGGATTACTACTTATGGTCTATTTTAGAGGCAAGGGTCTGAGCTTAAAAATCAAAAAGTTTGAAGTCGCTTTTGCAAGCACCCGTTCAGGAATGTGAAAAAATACACATGAAGAGATGCGGAAATGTTGCCCAAAATTTTTCCTTACAACCTAAACTGTCAGGGGACTCATAAACCTTTATTATTAAACTTTTATTGCCAAATTATTTATAAAAATTTCTAACAATGGAAAAAATATTTTAAATATATATACAAGTAGGTGAATATAACTAATCTTTCTTATTGAGCCATGTGAGTAAATCAGGGAATAAATAATTGAAAACGAGACTGAATAAAGCCCCGTTTATTTTGTAAATTTAATTAAAAATTTCAATTTTAGAATATAACAGAAATATCAAAACTTTATTGTTATTACAAAATGGATCGTCCTTTTATTCGTTTGGCTCCAATTAAAGTCGAAATTATTCATTTCGAGCCATTAGTTGTTATATTTCGTAATGTTATGTCCGATGAAGAAATTAAAACATTAATAAACATTTCATTACCAAGTTTGCATAGATCTGTGGTTCAAAACTCTTCGACTGGTGGACAAATGATAGCCAGCTATCGGATAAGCAAGAAGTTTTTTAAATAATTTAAAAATTTTGTATAATAATAAATTAAGCGCCTGGATCACCCAGAAATCTCATCCAATTATTAAACAAATAGCTAAGCGTTTGTCGTTAATGACAAATTTAAATATGAAGGCCGGTGAAGCTTTACAGGCAAAAAATATAACTTTAGATTTTAATATTATTTGTAATTTATAGATTGGAAATTATGGAATTGCTGGACAATATGAACCGCATTATGATTTTTCTAGGGTTATTTCATTCAATTTTATTTGAAAAAGTAATGGCTTCGTGGAAAAAAGGAATAGCTCGTTTAATTCCAAAATTCTCAAAAATTTTCAAGACTGTGCAGAAAAGTCTTAATCCACCCAAATCCCATGATAATTCACCCAACTCGATATCCCTCCCTCGAAATAATATTCCATTGATTTTCAACCCTAAACCTGGAAAAAAACATGGAGATTTTAACATAGGGATTTATGTTTCACCAAATTCTTCGGTTAACAAAACCGTACCGACAAACAAACGAAATTCTTCGCTTTTTCGGTTCAGTTCGAGTGTTAACAGACAACCCTAGTTTTGATTTTTTTGCTAAACCAACTTGTTATTTAACTTATTAATATTTTGAATTCATATATTAGACAAAAATGAGATGATCTTGAATTTAAAACTTGTGTTCTCCCTTTCACTCTAATGATTAAATTATTAGACGATAATAATTTTTAAACTATAATAATTTTTTTAAAGAATAACGAATCTTCAAAGAATCATAGTATGGGAATTGGTAATAGAATCGCAACTGTTCTATTTTATTTAACTACACCAGAAAAGGGTGGCTATACAATTTTTAATAAAATAAATACAATTGCTAAACCATCTAAACGTGATGCTCTTTTTTGGTATAATTTGTTAAGAAATGGAGATGGAGATTTAAGAACAATGTTTTTGCATTTTTATAAAAATTAAATGATAATTTAATTAGGCATGCAGCTTGCCCAGTTTTAATTGGAGATAAATGGGTTGTAAATTCTTGGATACGTGAAAGAGGACAAGAGAATTTTCGTCCATGTTCATTAAAATCACCAACGATGGAACGTTATGTTGGAGATTTAGGAGGTTATTATGAAAATATTATGAAAAAATATCACCATAATTTAAAAAATGATTAGCTTGAAATAAAATGTGGCAAAATACATTTACGTATATACAGAGGACCAGAGGTGGTCGGAATTCCAATTTACTACGTTTTTTTCCTTCCGATTTCCGATTTCCGAAATTTTGGAAAAATTTCCGAGTTCCACTTTTGACCCATTTCCGATTTCCGACAGTTCCGATTTCCGGCACCTCTGATTGTTCCGACCCACCTCTGCAGAGGACCCAAAAAATTTTAGGACGCTATTTAAATTAAAGTTAATGAGATCAATAAAGCTTATATGATAGAGAACCAAATAAGAACAAATAAAATCAAGAATTTTAGAAGTACCTACACTTTGCGCGGTCACAGTTAAAGGCGGATGAAAATTTGGCAAAAGTTCGCACCATCTCGAGAGAGATTAGGGGGTGGTTCATGAACAAAGTACCCTTAAACATAAGCATATATTTTGAACTATAATAGTTATAAAAGATTTCTTGCTTAATTCTGTATGCAAATATTTTAAGTATTCAAGTATTTTTTATACATATTTATTTAACGTTTTTAATGTTTTACATACATTTTAAAATTTTATTTTGATGCTCATTCAGAATGTCTTTTCTTATTTAGCAAAATTTTCATTTTATATTCTCATTATTTCTTGTTGGAAGTTTTTGTTTAACAATAATAACATTTGTGCTGACATTAGTTGCAGTATTCTTTTTAATAAATTGACTTTTGACTACTAGACGAAAATCTTCAGAAATAATAACCAAACAAATTTCTTCAATACATTGAAGGATAGTTAGGCTTGTATTGAATAAAACGGATACAATAATTGAAGTAGTTGTGTCTTGTACATTTGCATCAATAATCACGTTTAATTTGTACATACATATATACCATGGGCAAGGAATTAGGCTTACCAAACAAACAGCTAATATTTTAATTCGTTCTTTTTTAGTATTGTCCTCTAAACTTTGCATCTTTCCAGTCTCTAGAATTATTTTTAGGGGCTTTTAAAAATTTTCTAACAAATGTTACGGGAATTGGAAATGCTGGCCCTACTATAAGATAACCATATGACAAGTTAATAGTATCTTATAATTATGTATATAATGTTTAAGTATCGTTTAGTCAGCTGCCTAACTAAGCCTGAATTTATCCTGAACTTATTAGTATCATAGTTAGGTCAACTGTATTAAAAGTCGTATTTATCAAATGATATTCTTATAACATACTGTAATCATAGATAAATTTTGACAGCACAGCAATATATATGGGAGCTGATAAACATAAAGCAGTCAATAACGGTAAATCACCAATCATGAATACTCCATAAATGAATATACTTTATAGAATTAAATAAATTTTATAATATATCTTATATTATTTTTAACCTCAAAAAATTATTTTGGGGAATTTGAAAAGTATATCCAAGATATATTACCGCACTCCAAAGAAGTATTATAAGCCATAAAACAGAAATAATGAATTTAATATTTCTAAAATTTAAAAAAGTTTTTAGTGATATTTTTTCATTTCCAACAAAATACTAAGATGTACATACCTTTTTTTCCAAATTTTTTGATAACTAAAAGGGAGGAAGACTGCATGGAAGCGATTTAGTGCCAATCCAGTCACATGCACATAGATTGATGTAGTTAAAACAGACGATAATGGTGATATAAAAAAGTGGCTCCAAAATGATGCCATAAATTGAGGATAATATTGATATATACTAATATAGATTTGAAGGAATTGATATGTTATATTTGCACATGACTGGAAATTTTTATGTAATATTTACTTAAAGGAAAAAGGTGTTCAATTAAAATGATAAGCTAAATCCTAAACTTAACTTATAGGCTTAAAACTTAAAGTACTTTACAATAGATCAGGATTGTGCGTTTGTAACATAACTATTGGGTAACCGGGCTGAGCGTCATGGCGACTGGCGCTTTGCGTTTGGCACCTTTTCCCTATTTTGGCGCCAAACGCCGAAAATTAGCCCTGGCATAAACTTTATGATGGTGTGCATTTTATGATGGTGTGCATATACTATGATATGCATTTAGCCTCCGGCATAACTTTTTTATATCTTGTCGCTGGCAGAGTAGGCGGCGTTTTACATCTTGGCTTATTGGAAATCGCCAATAGGCAATGACAGGGTTGGCAGGAGATAAATCTCTCTACATACCTCCAACATTAGTCAAGCTTATAAAATGCATAGTCCCTAATCATTCGATAAAAAAGGATGGAGTATGTAGTAACATTAAATTTTTGGGATTATTTATTCATAAAAAAATTATCCATTATAATTGAAAAACATAATTATGTAACCATGATCGTTATAAAATTTACCTTGCTAAATAAAATAAAAAGAGCAGTTCTTTCCTTTGAAAATTTGTGTAAAGGGCGTACCAAAATTAAAAGTATAAAAACACAAATTGTACAGAAGAATATAGAAAATACATTCAAATAATTTTTTCTTATATCACGATTTATTGTCATTTGTATACTTTATCAGAGGTTAATATCTTAAAAATTTTATCACGAATATGAAATTTTAGTTGAAAAATATTTTCTATTCATCTAATAATAATTCTAGTTACCACCCAGTTTGTTAAGAGGGTGAATTTTGAAATTTAAACTAAAAATTAAAATAAATAAAATTAATTGTACTATTCCATGCTTAATAATTAACACGAATGGAATAACTTTTCTTTATAATTTTTTATTAATCATAATATAATAGTTAGTCTTGTCTTCACCTGCAATTTTTGAATATATAATTTTAATTTTTTATAATAAATAAAATATTTTAATTAAATTGCTGGCTTGAAATTAATTCTTTTAATTATTTAATGGGAAAGTACATATTTAAATGGTAAAGTACATATGCAAATATAAAGTACAAGTTTTAATTTTTTTTTAAACATCTGTCTTTTCTTTTCTTTTCAGAAAAAGAAGAAAAAAATATTATGCAAAGAAAATTAAATAAAATTTTTTAAATAAAATTTATTTAAATTAACATAACAAATGTTTAAAAAAAGAGAATAAATTTACATGAGAAAAAATTTTAAAATTATTCAAAAGCAGGGTTTCGATCTCGAATTTTTAAAAATCCGCAAGATTGATCGAAAAATCCGCATTTTATATCAAATATCCGCAAAAAATTATCAAACACAAAAATTGAATTAAAATCACTTTATGCATTGTATTTTTCGTCTTCTACAATTGAATTAAGCAATTTTTTATTACTAATGATCATCTTATGAAAATCCAACAACTATCTGAAAAATTACACTTGCATTTTTGTCGTGGAAGATGTCGCAAATTTTTATTTCTTCCATTTTCAGCGGCGCAGGCGAAAATTTTTTTATTTTGGAAGATCCTTAAGCCAAAAATCGTTCATTTTCAGGCCTGGTAAAAAATTTTGAGGATTTTGGAAGATCAAGGACACAGATTCTTTCCTTTTTTGCGCCGCAGCGAAAATTTTGAGGATTTTAGAAGGTCTTAGCGGAAAAATAATGACATTTTTGCTAAAAACCACAAGAAAATATAAAAAATCCTCATAATCTTCAAAAGACCACAAAAATCCGCAAATCCGCATTTTAAAAAATAATCCTCATCGCCCTATCAAAAAACCACAAAATGAGGAAAAATCCGTAGATATCGAAACCCTGTTCAAAAGAGAAATTGACATACAGTGACATACACCCTGTTTTACGTTGATTTTTAGGGTATCGAGATCTCGACTTTGAAATTTGATAGAGCCCTAATTCTTTTTTTATTTTTTATACAATCGATAGACATATTCACGGTATTTTTTGTAGAATTTTACAATAGGTGGAAACTAGACTTTTACAGGGGTTCTCAAAGTGAACTAATATTTAAGTAACACTAGTTTTATTAAAAATTTGAAATAAAATTTTTTTCAAAATTGCTTTGACATTTTGATAATTTTTTCTCAAATTATAATCGAATTAGCTATATTTTCTCGAAATTTGAAATAAATCCGACTATTCAAAATGGAGTTAGGTAAAAAATTAGGGGTGAACGTATGTTTATGTAACGCACTGTAATTGAAGTGAGTTTTGCGTAAAATTAAAAAAAAAAAGAATTAAATTTGAATTAAAAAATTAAATTAGTAATTTCATGCAATAGAAATTTAAATTATATTTATTTGGCAATCAGCTAAATATTGTTTAAATAAATAAAATAACTCAGCCAATCTTTTTTATTCAAAGGATGAAAATGTGGCACGAATTTTCGTCAAAGGACTTTCCGTCAACGGACTTTTCGTCAATGAATGGTTGTTTTTTTTAATTTTAAGAGAGAGAAGATGAATTTAAGAGAGAAGATGACTATTTATATATATACATATGAATAAAATATATGCCAGCCAGTTTATTAAGAGAATTAATTTCATATTTAACAAAAATAAAATAAAGAGGAAATTATTTGTCAGATTCTACAATTATTATACTAATAATTAAGCATGTATGGACTAAAACTTTTTATATATTTATTAAAATTTATGTTGGCTAACATAATTATCACCTGCTAATTTTGAATATATTATAATATTAATTTTTTATAAGAAATAAAATATGTTAATGATTGGTCATAAATTATTAAATAGGAAAGGATTAAAGTACAATTTTTAAATTATTTTACTGATTTTTAAACATTTGTTCATATAAAACTTTTCTTTCTATCTTTTTTTTTTACCTGATAATATTAGAGAGTATTTTTTTAATTTTATTAAATTTAATTATTATGCAAACCACACGGTATAATTAATATACACTAAAATGGTAAAAAATATTAATAAATATAAGTTAAATAATAAAGAATTAAAAAAATGCATTAAATCAGATCAATGTTAATTAAATTACATGTAAAATATTATATAAAAACTATAAAACTTTTTTCTATTTTTTACCTTGATAATATCAGAGAAAATTTTTATGTGAATTATTCTCCCTTATTTTTCATTAGGGTTCTATGTCCCTTATAATGCCTCCATCCCAAAACTTCTATATAACAATGAGGTAACAACAAGGTCACTTAATCTCAGTTTGTAGAAAAGTGGGTAGAAAAGTGGGTAAATCATTAATAAATATTGTGAATAATATGGGACCAATTACACTCCCTTGTGGAACACCAGAAGTGGCTTAAAAGTTATTAGAAAATTCATCATTAAATTTTACGTTATAATTCCGATTTGTTAAGAAGTTTTTAATAAAAATATCTTTACATTTATCTCAGCTTCATATATTTTTTAAAAGTTTTGAAATTGGAACTTATCGAATGCCCTTTTAAAGTCTATTTCTCTCTATTTTCTATCGCCGAAAAGAATTCGTCCATGACTGTAAGTAATTGAGTTGAAGTGGATCTATTTTGTAAGAACATAATTGTTAATTACTGAAAAACCCTTTCTTTTGTAAAAATTCAACTATTTGTTTAGCTAATATTCGTTCAAAAAAAATCAGCCCAAAAATCAGCTTGGTCCCCCTTATGCTTTCCGGATTTTCAGGGGTCTGAATTTTCAGGGGTCTAAAAATCCGGGAAAAATACAAAAGAGGACCATTTTAAGCACTTTTATACTGATATTCTATCTTCCCACATCTTTTTAGACAAGAAAAACATGAGTTTAGGTGTGTTAATGAGCCGAAGTCAAGCCTAAATTTTTATATGAATAAAAAATGTTAATTATTGGACTAAATTATTAAATAGAAAAAGAGCTTCAGAAAATATTCGAGCAGGCCCTCTCAATTGTTGGCTCCGGCTCCGGAGCCGGATATAAATATACTGCAATCATAATTTAAATATTTTATTGTCAATTAATGTAATTTTTTGGCATTTAACTTTAAAGATTAGCCAATTTCAAAATTTATTATATCTTTGCATGGTTTCATTGTTATTTAAAATTTTAAAATTGATGTTATCATCGTTTCATTAAAATTCAGTTAAGCACATTCTTCTCTACGACAGAATTTTATACTGAAATAAATATCTAATAATTTTTATAAATAAATATTTACTTGTATCATCAACTAGTTTTGGACAGCCCGGCGTACAACATATATTCATACAACCAGGATCGTCACAACATTCACAAACAATACTTGCTATTGCTGAGCATATTACTAAAACAATTAATAATAATTTATTCTTCATTTTATTATGTCTAAATTAAATTTAATTAAAATTAAAAACATGGATGCGGCAAATTAAGGGAACTTTTTCTTTTGCTCATAAAGAAAAAGTTTACGAAAATTGATATATTTTTTTATATTTTTCCTAAAACTCTAAGAAAGTTTTTGGTACCAAGCAATAGAAATTTGGTCCAAGATTAGTAAAGATATACATCCAAATATTTAAACGCGTCAAAAACATTTTTATGACAAAGTTTACTTTGTCATAACTTTGCTCAATGTCGTCCAATCATACTAATTTTGGTACCAAACGACTTATCTCAATGAGAAGCATCGAAATAATCCAGAAAAACATTTTTAAAAATTTCACCTAAAAAATTGAAATTAAGCACGTATTTTCATATCTATCTTTTAAAAATCCATATCTCAGCTCATGGACCAGATAAAAGTTTTGTTTAATTAATATTCGAATTATTTTGAAGAGCTTATTCGAATGACATAAAATTTTCAAATATCAAAATCTTAACATTAACCCAGGCCATCTTTTAACAAAAAAATTCTACTCAAACTTTGAAGCAAAATTAAGCAGGTTAAATTATAAAAATTAAAACGAATTTTAGTATCAAAAATTTTC